GGGGGGCTGGGGGGATGGAAGGGGTTAACAAAGGGGTGCTGGGGGGGTGGAATTCGGAATGAGGGGGTGCTGGGGGCGGTGAGTCTGGGGGAGCCCTGCTGGACCAGCCCCACCCCCAGGAACGGCGGAGGGGGCGCACGGCGGTGTCCCGGGGAGCTCCCGGGCCCGGAGCCCTCGGGAAAGGCCTGACCTCCCCCTCAGAGCCCGCCTGTCCCCCGCGATCCTCCCACAGGACACCCCCCCGGGGACCAGCAGATACTGCCGGAGTTCCCAATGCCCTCGGGACCCTCCCGGTGCCCTCACGGTGCCCCCGGTGCCCTCACGGTGCCCTCACCGCCCGCTCCGCTCCCGCCGCTCCGGATCGCCGCCGCCGTCACGTGACGCCGCCGTCACGTGCACCACGTAACCCCGCCCACCCCGACAGCGAAAGCCACGCCCCCTACGCACATACCACGCCTTTTTACCCTTATATGGCTAAAAGGGCGGAGAGTGATACGTGTGGGCGGGGCCAGGTGTGCTCCGGGACGCGATTTCCTAAGAGGGGCTGAATTTTGGGGTTCTCACCAGACATTGCCCCAGTTTTTCCCGGTTCATCCTGATTTTCCTGCTCTTATCCTGATTTTTCCGCATTCACCCCTATTTTCCCATCATTGCCTTCATATTTTCCGGATTCGCTCTCATTTTTGATTTCTCCTCATTTTTTATTTCTCCTCTTTTTTTTTTTTTTTTCCTTATTTTCATCCTGATTTTTCCCGGTTCATCCTGATTTTCCTGCTTTTATCCTGATTTTTCCGCATTCACCCCTATTTTCCCATCATCGCCTTCATATTTTCCGGATTCGCTCTCATTTTTCACATTTCTCCTCATTTTTTCCAGGTACACCCTAATTATTTTCCAAGTTCATCCTGATTTTTCCAGGTTCATCCTGATTTTCCTACTTTTATCCTGATTTTTCCTCATTCAACCCTATTTTTCCATCATCGCCCTCACATTTTCAAGATTCACTATCATTATTTATTTCTCCTCATTTTTTCCTTATTCTTCTCTTAATTTCACCCTGATTTTTCCCAGACCATCCTGATTTTTCCAAGTTCATCCTAATTTTCCTACTTTATCCTGTTTTTTCCCAGTTCATCCTGATTTTCCTACTTTTATCCTGATTTTTCCGTATTCACCCCTATTTTCCCATCATCGCCCTCATATTTTCCAAATTCACTCTCATTTTTTATTTCTCCTCATTTTTTCCCTATCTTCATCCTGATTTTTCTCAGTTCATCCTGATTTTCCTACTTTTATCCTGGTTTTTCCCAGTTCATCCTTAATTTTCCAGGCTCACCTTCATCTTCCAAGTCCGCCCTTATGAGATTCCCTAAAAACTAAAAGAAGGGTTTTTTGGTCTTTTTTTTTGTTGGTTTTTTTTGGGGTTTTTTTTGGGTTTTTTGGGTTTTTTTTTGGGTTTTTTACCCTTTTTTTGTACACGGAAAGCGGGGAGAAAAGTCAGAGGGGTCCTGCCAGTCCTGCTGCCACCTCGTGGCATGGATCCTCTTCTCCAACTTCTTTGTGGCTCACAGAAATCACTGTAAAACCTCTTCACCAAATCCCCAAATCCTTCTTGCAGCTGAGATGTTCACAACACGAAGCAACACTCCATTCTCCCTTTTTTTTTTATTCTATTTATTCTTTTTATCCATCCTTACAAAACTCATAAATTTACGCTTGTTGGTCACGAGAGACCAAAAAAAAAAGTGTTTATTCCAACAGGTTCCTCTTATTTATAATTTTTTTTCCCCTTGCTTTCTATGTCAAGAACCTCGGTAGGAAATCCTCTCAGGGGTGAGATCCTCTTCCCAAACTTCTCTCCGGCTCGCAGAAATCCCTGGAAAACCTCTCCCACACCTGGAGAACCCTCAGGACGGGCAGCTCGGACGGACCCCACGCCCACCTCACCCTCCCCACCGGAATTTGCCTTTTGGGATCCAAAAATCCCCCCTGGCTATTTTTAAATTGCTGCCGGAGCCCACTCAGCTCCCTCTCCCCGTGACAAATCCGCCTGTCGCGATCTTCAGCTGTTTTTTTCCTCCCTCTGCTCCGAGCCCGGGTGGCAACAGCCGGGATTCCCTCCCCATCCCCACCCCGAGCAGGCACCGGGAATTTCCTCTGGGGGCTCTGGGGGGATTTGGTGCCCACCCCCCCCGGCATTTTCTGGGGTAAGTGGAGTGCTGGGATCCTTGGGTTTTGGGATTTGTGCTTGGGATGGGGTTAATTTCCTTTATTTCGGGAGGGATGGGGTTAATTTCCTTTATTTCTGGAAGGATAGGGTTAATCTTTATTTCTGGAAGGATAGGGTTAATCTCCATTATTTCTGGAGGGATGGGGTTTATTTCCTTTATTTCTGGAGGAATAGGGTTAATTTCCGTTATTTCTAGAGGGATGGGTTTTATTTCCTTTATTTCTGGAGGGATGGGGTTAATCTCTTTTATTTCTGGAGGGATGGGGTTAATTTCCTTTATTTCTGGAAGGATGGGGTTAATTTCCTTTATTTCTGGAGGGATGGGGTTAATTTCCTTTATTTCTGGAGGAATAGGGTTAATTTCCTTTATTTCTGGAGGAAAGGTGTTTATTTCCTTTATTTCTGGAGGAAAGGGGTTTATTTCCTTTATTTCTGGAGGGATGGGGTTAATTTCCTTTATTTCTGGAGGGATAGGGTTAATTTCCTTTATTTCTGGAGGAAAGGGGTTTATTTCCTTTATTTCTGGAGGAAAGGGGTTTATTTCCTTTATTTCTGGAAGGATGGGGTTAATTTCCTTTATTTCTGGAGGGATGGGATTTATTTCCTTCCAAGCACGGCATGGAAGGAAGAGTGCATCCTTTGGGATTGATTGTGCACCCTGGAAAGAAGAGGGATCCACTTTTCCACCTCTCTGGCTGATTTCCCCAAATATCATCTTCCCACCCCAGTCCCAACGCTCTCCTGGGCTCAGGTGGGCACCAGGATTTGCTCCCTGCAGGTGGAAAGCAGCAGGAGCTTGGTTTAGGACACAGAAGGATTTCCTGAGTGCGTCCCCAAAGGGATTTGTGGGTGCTGGAATGCTGAGGGACCAACTTCCCACCCCTGTCCTCCTCTGTGGCCTCTGGAATGGACCTGGAAATTCCCAGTTTGGGACATTCCTGACCATTCCTTCTCCGTGCAGGGAGCAGGGCTTGGTGCAGCCGCTTCCTGCACCTGTGCAGGTGGGATTTCAGGAGTGCAGCCAGCACGGTCTGGCAGTCATTGATCCCTGGGGACATTGGCCACCAGCCCTGGGGACACTGGCCATCGATCCCTGGGGACATTGGCCACCAGCCCTGGGGACACTGGCCATCGATCCCTGGGGACATTGGCCAGCTTTGGCCATGTTTGCCTTCAGGACTTGGCTGCGCCCCAGGAGACAAAACGCTGGGAAAGGGAACATCCCATTCCCTGCTGGACACATCCCACAGGGAAAAGCTTTTCCGCAGGGATTCACTCCCCGGTGGTGCCCACGGGGCTTTCCAAAGAGGAAAACCCAGGGAAGCTCCCACGAGCCCACATTCCCCAGGGTTTGGGGGCTCCCACCTCCTCCTGGAGCTCCTGTGCCCCACCTTCTCCAGGCTCTGGCTGTCGTTCCCGACTGGATCAGAGCCCGGCTAAATTTAGAAGGATCGATTTCAACCCCCGCCTCTGCCCCGCGGGGGAAAGGACAGAGCAGAGGTGCCCGGGGACGAGGAGCCACGGGGGGCTCCGTCCTCTGTCCCCTGGACTGGTGGGACCCCAAATTTACCCAGCTGCAGGACCATGGAGGAGCCCAGGGGGGCTGGAATTTTCCTGGGTCGTGCCACGGGTCTCTGTGGCTGTCACTCGTGACAAGGACGCCCGTGTGTCCCGCAGGGAAGGAGCTCCCTGAAGAGGCTGGTACAGGTGAGGGGGCGGTGGGAAAGCAGGAATGAGGGTCCAAGGATGTCGTTGGCACCCAGGGATGCTTCAGGTTCTGATGCCACGTGTGGTGTCCCCAAAGTGAGGGTGGAGTGACACGCTCAACACCCATCCCTGTGAGGAAACAGCACCAGGGAGGGGTTTAGGTTGGACATCAGGGGAAGTTTCCTCATGAAAAGGGTGGTCAAGGCGTGGCACGGGCTGCCCGGGTAGAGTCACATCCCTGGAAGTGTCCAAAGCCCTGTGGATGTGCCACCCGGGGACAAGTGGTGGCCTGGGAAGTGCTGGGGTGACTCGCTGCCAGCTGCAGGACCCGTCTCGGTCCCGTCTCCCCAGTCCCACCTCTGCTTCCAGGGGAGCTGCCGAATGAAGCCCGGAGCTGCTGGTGGGTGAGAGACCCCCCAAGCTCTGCATGGATGGGAATGGGGAGAGCTGCCCACAGTAGGAGCCCAGGGCAGCTGGAAAACTCCGGCCTCTTCCTCCGAGCTTTCCTGCTCCTCTTCCTCTGCAGGCATGGTAAGGATGCACGTGGGCAGAGCTGTTCCCTGTAAAAATCAGGAGAAAAGCGCTTCCAGGGGGAATCTCCATGAGAATCTCGAGCTGGGTGGTGGGGGGTGACGGGGGGAGGACAGGCTGCCCTTCCCCACCCTGCCGCCACATTCCTCTTCACAGAGAAAAGCGAGGCACAATTCTTCCCAAGAATATTTCTGGGTTTCACATTCTCTGAACACCAGAGAAGGAAAACACAACTCTTATCTTACTTGCTGTGCCTGTGTTTGTGCAAAAGTAGAATGCAACACGGAGATTGTTTACCCAAAGTGACGGTGTTTTGTTCCCTTGGCCTGTCAGGCCAGGAGTGTGTGTGTGTGTGTCGGGACTGTCGGCTGACAGTCATGAGATGAGTGCAGTGGAGGGCAGTTTTGTGCAGAGTTGAGTGCTTGGCACATTGGGTTTAGATGTGATGTAATACAGTCTAATATAATATATAATAGAATATTTAATATAATATAATATAATATAATATAATATAATATATTATAATATAATGTAATATGTAATATAATATATATATAATGTAATATATACAGTGTAATATAATATAGAATAATATAGTACAAGAAAGTAATCAATTATTCTTATGGAGTCAGATGCATCATTCCCTCCTCCTCCTCGTTTGTAATGAAAATATCCACCATTACCACCCCACCCCTTCTCTCCCAGTCTCCTCCCAGTGCAAGATCCTCCGCTGCAACTCGGAGTACGTGGCGGCCACGCTGCACCTGCGCGGCCCCGAGCGCGGCGCCGCATTCTGCACCGCGCTGCGCTCCTACTCGCTGTGCACGCGCCGCACCGCCCGCACCTGCCGCGGCGACCTGGCCTTCCACTCGGCCGTGCACGGCATCGAGGACCTCATGATCCAGAACAACTGCTCCAAGGAAGGGCCCACGGCCCCGCCGCGGCCCGCGGCGCCCAACCCGCACGGCTTCGAGTCGCTCGATATCTGCGATTACGAGAGGAGTTTCCTCTACAAGCACGGACGACCGCCCGGTTTCCAGCACTGCGCTGCTTTCGGGGACCCCCACATCCGGACCTTCCACGATGACTTCCACACGTGCCGGGTGGAGGGCTCCTGGCCGCTCTTGGACAACGATTACCTGTTTGTGCAAGCCACCAGTTCACCGGTGGCCAAGGGGTCCAACGCTACAGTCACCAGCAAGGTAACGTTAGCGCACAGGATGGGTGGCAAATCCAGGGTCAGGGCACCTCCTGTACTTCCCAAAATCCTTGGGACTGCTTCAGACCCAGAGGGGGATGAGGAAGGTGGGACAACAGTGGTGAAGGTTGTTGAGGGGACCCTCAAACACTCCTGCTGCTGTCAGGTGACTGTGTGGTCCAAGGGGTACCTGAAGGAATTTTGTGGTCCATGGGGTGCCTGGAGGAATCTTGTGGTCCAAGGGGTACCTGAAGGAATTTTGTGGTCCATGGGGTGCCTGGAGGAGTCTTGTGGTCCAAGGGGTACCTGAAGGAATCTTGTGGTCCATGGGGTAGCTGGAAAAATCTTGGGGTACCCGGAGAAATCCTGTGGTCCATGGGGTGCCTGGAGGAATCTTATAGTCCAAGGGGTACCTGGAGGAATCTTGGGGTACCTGGAGGAATCTTGTGGTCCAAGGGGTACTCGAAGGAATCTTGTGGTCCATGGGGTACCTGGAGCGATCTTGCTGGCTTTGGCTCCACCTGAGTTTTCCGTTGCTTAAATGGTGTTAAAAAAAGAAGGAAAGATTGTAGTTATCCCCAAAGGACTGTGGCAGGGATGGTTTAAGGACGGATAGGTGAGGTGGGACCTCCATCCTGGGACAGGACCACAACCACCACACTCATCCCCGCCCCGCCCCACTCCCCGCAGCTGACCATCATCTTCAAGAACATGAAAGAATGCATCGACCAGAAGGTCTACCAAGCCGAGCTGGACAACGTCCCTGCAGCATTCCAGGACGGCTCCGTCAACGGCGGCGCGCGCCCGGGCGGGAGCAGCTTGGCCATCTGGGAGCGCAGCCCCGGCCGGCACGTGGAGATCCGCGCCGCCTACATCGGCACCACCATCGCCGTGCGCCAGGCCGGCCGCCAGCTCTCCTTCTCCATCCGCGCCGCCGAGGAGGTGGCCCGGGCCTTCACGGAGGAGCAGGACCTGCAGCTGTGCGTGGGCGGATGCCCCCACAGCCAGCGCATGTCCCGCAGCCCCCGCGGGCGCGGCCGCGTCCCCGCGGAGACGGCGCGAGCGCTCTGCCGGGAGATGCTGCCCGTGGAGGATGTCTACTTCCAGTCGTGCGTCTTCGACGTGGTCACCTCGGGGGACGTCAACTTCACCATGGCAGCGCACGGGGCGCTGGAGGATGCCCGGCTCTTCCTGCCCGATGCTGAGAAGCTTCACATCTTCCAAGCTGGAGGAGGTTGCCAACTCAGCTCTCCATCGTTTCTCCTCCTCCTCTTCCTCCTCCTGTGTGGACTTTGGGCTGTTTTGTTGCACTTTTAACCCCCGCCTGCTCCGTAGGGAGCTGCTGGCTCCGAGCTGCAGCCAGGAGAGGTTCCTCGCCTTGAAGGAGGTGTCTCAGAGACCCAAGAGAGGGAAGAGGTGAACCCCTGGTTTGCACCCACTGGTCTCACACGGATGGTGAAGCTGCTTCCCAGCTCTTCTCGTGAAGGCAGTTCCAAATTTTTCTGTTCCATTCTGACACGTTCCTTTTCCCCTAAGGATGTGTCATTGCAGTGCCTCAAAGAAAAATAAACCCCCTGGGTTAGAAAGCCCCTCTGTCCCTCAGAGCCTTTCCATAACTCACTTCCCACCTTTGCCCCATGTTAATCCAGCAGAATTCCACTCAGGAACCATATAAATCCAGAAATAAGGGACTCAAAGCCCAAAGCCCAATTTTTAGCAATAATTTTTTTTTTTAAAAATGGATTTGGGACCCTTCACTCATCTACTCCCAAAGCAAAGCAAGGCCACAAATCATTCTGGGGAGCGTTGTGACCAAGAGGGAGACTTTTGAGTAGAAATCAGACGGTTTTGTCCAGGTGCTCTTCTTCCAGGATAAATAACAAGTGGATCGCCAGCAGTGGGAGCTGTGGAGCTTGGGACCTCCCACATCCCAGGCCACTGTTGCTATTTTTCCTTGTTTTCTTGGCACCTGTTGTGGACTGATTTTAGCCGGGTCTGGACTTGAGGCTGGTGTCAGGTTTTAGAGAGGACAAAACACCGCTTGGGAATTCTCTCCCTTGGGCCCAGATTCTCTGTCGCTGCTGAAATCCAACCCAAACTGGAGCTTTTGCTTGGAAAAACAGAATTCCTGATGGCAGAGAGCCAGCTGGGCACACAGATGGGCAGGGTATTGCCCCGTGGAAGGTGCAGAACTGCAGAGGGGAGGGCAAATTTCACATATTTCTGAGGATTTCAGTAAAGCAGATGGAGTTCTACAGGAGAAATCTTTTCCTTAGGGAAGACTTTCCTTTATTTTTAATAAAGTGTTAAAAACTTGGCCATCCCTGTCCCACAGAATTGCAGGAAGGGCTTGTGGACGTGGGGGAAAGGGAATTTCCGCCCCTCCAGGCACGGAGGCTCCATCAAGGGAGGTTCTACAATTCATGTTTCAATACATCCACGGGGTTTTCTCTCTCTTTACTCTTCTGTGCCAAGAGCACAAAGAATACGCAGGAAATAATTCATGGATTTCATTGTGAATTCCCCCTCAGATGGGTGCTCAGAGCACACGGTGACCAGCAGGAGACCTGCTCCATGCTTTTTACCCTGCTTCTGGTAATCCCTGAGGGGTTGGACATTAAAGGGGTCTATTTTTGAGTCCCCATTTCCTGTCATCTGTCTCTTCACGTCTTTGGGTGGCAGTGGCAGATGAGGATAAGAATATCTCCTTCCTCCCTTGCTCCTCTGACTCAAGAGCTTTGGGTGGATGGAAAGGGAAGCAAGCTGCTTCCTGATGTGCTCCACGTGTCCCTTTGGGAAGAAAATCATCTGGGGAGGAATAAAATCCTATTGGGGGGACAAAATAATCCGTGGGGAGAATGTTCTCCATAGGGATTAAATGCTCTTTAGGGATGAAATCCTCAGGAGCAGCGTTGGTGGTGCTGGAGCTCCTGGTGGAAATGGGATGGATTTGATGATGCAGGAGCTAATTGTCCTTTAGTTGCTGGCCTGTAGAGCCATTCCACAAGAATTCCATGGGGAAAGGAGAGTTCCCAATGGAATTAGACCTTCCTTCCTCCTGAACAGCCAGGCCACCACCTGCACCACCAGCACTGGGCCTGGTGCTTTCCTTGCCAGCCCTTTGTCAGGAGCCACCTCTGAAATTTAGAGAGCAGCTCCCAAACTGAAAATGTCCAGGAATTCTGATTTGGAGAGCTCTGGTTCCAGCTTTGAGGCTCAGCAGCTCCACCCAACCCAGACTTACACCAGGAGTGGCCCAAGGTGGGCACTTCTGACAACTGGATTCCAGCCTGGAGGAGCTGCGGCTGATGAATTATGGACTCATTAAGGTTGGAGAAACTTCTGAGATCATTAATCATTAACTCTCCTGCAGCACTGCCAAGGCCACTCCTGACCCATGACCCCAGGTCCCACATCCACTTGTTTTTGAACACATCCAGGATGGTTCATTGCTCCGTTCCAACGTCTGGCCTCCTTCCCACTAACACAATTTCCAAAATATCCAACCTAAACCTTCTCCTGTGGCCTCTTCCTCTTGGGAGACCACCCTGAACCCCCTCAGCTCCAACTATCCAGGGCACCTGGGAGCTGAACCAGCCCAAGCAGGCTCTGCTGGAGCTGGATGGAGTGGCTGAGATGTTTTTTAGCAGGTGACATCAGCCAGGGAGGGGAAGGGTCGATCCAAAGTCCGCTGACGTCAATGGAAACAAGCTTGTTGACATCAGCAACTTGGACTGGCGCCGACGTTCTGCTCCTTGATTTGGGGTGGGGGAAGAGGTCTGGTCCTGCCTCAGTGTGGCTCTGAGGAGGAGCAGTGTGGAATAATTTGGGAATGGGCCAGGACCATGCCATGCTTGGCACGTTTTTACCGTTTAGCTGAACCCCTGCATGGCTACAGCTCGGGTTTGAGACTCTGCAGGGTGTCCAGAGGAGGTGGTGGCCTGTGACAGAGGAGGTGATGGATTGATAGATGGAGGAATGAATGGATGGATGGATGATGGATGATGGATGGAGGGTGTCCAGAGGAGGTGGTGGCCCTGTGATGGAGTGAGGTGGTGGCCTGTGACACAGGGGAGATGGATTGATAGATGGATGATGGATGGATGATGGATGGATGGATGATGGATGGATGGATGATGGATGATGGATGGATGGAGGGATGCAGAATTCTCTACCATTCCAAGGAAAGCCTCTAGATGTCCACAGAACCCAGCTGTCCGGCACAGCCAGAGCTCCAGAGTGCCAGGATTTCCATCCCAAAACAACAAGGAATCACAGAATTCCAGGTTTGTTCAGCTGGAAAACACCTTCAAGATCATCTTGCTGACGGCAGGGACACCTTCCAGACACCAGATGGCTCCAAGTCCCACTTCTCTTCCCCGAGCCTGACACTCCCAGCTCTTGCTCGCTGCCTCGGAGCACTTTCAGCTGCTGAAAAGGAGGAAAAATTCCACATTTCTTTGCTGTCTGAGGGGCTCCAGGGGCTCTGCCAGCAGCTGGGGGAAGCCCCTCTCTGATGTCCCTGCCTCTTCCTGCCAGAGCAGATGACAAACACGGGACTTTGCAGACCCAGGACCCGAATTCCTCCTTGTTTACGGACGGCTGAGCTCTTCTGGAGCCTTATCTCCCCCTCCCTGCTCCAAAAATCACTTTCTGGGCAGAAAACAGGGGAAGAAATCCCACCTGGAAGGAGAACTGCCAGGCTGGGGGAGCTTCCACATCCCAGTCTCCAGTGGGAGCTGGAAAAATGAGATTTTGGGGGGGGAAAAAACCCTCGGCTGGGGGAGCTTCCACCATCCCAGTTCCAGTGGGAGCTGGAAAAATGAGATTTTGGGGGGGGAAAAAACCCTCCTGTGCAAGCCCTGAAGGAAAAGGAAAATGGGATCTCGATCCCTGTCCCTGCAGAATCTCAAACATGGGCGTCAAAAGCTTTTGCTGGGAACAAAACAGCAAAAAAAGGGGAATTTTTGGCAAATTTTTTTTGACTTTGAGAGGTGTTTTTAAAAATTTTTACTTTTAGTTTTCTGAGAAGGGTGAGACAATAGAGATGTTATAATCAGATGTTAAAAAGAAATGTCACAGAGATAGATAAATGTTATAAATAATAAATAGAATAGAAATAAATGTTACCAAAATAGATGTGATAATTTATGTTATTACAATTAGAAGTTAACTGTTTTTTTAATTATAATATAAGTGCTTTTTGGTTTATTAGTTGCAGTTACACTAGGTTGTAAATGCTTTAAAGCTAATCATTTAAAATTACTCTTTGTGGGGTTTATTACAATGTATTTTTATAATTCTATTTTTTAATATTATAATGCATTTTTATAGTTCTATTTTTTAAAGTATTTACTTTTATTTTTTGAAACTTCCTTTTAGTTTAATTTTTTTTTCTTAACAAGAAAATAGCTTTAACTCTTAGTTTTATTTTATGCTATTTCTAAATCAGTATTTCTCATTTTTAGGTTTTTATATGTGAGCTTTCTACTAGGCTCTGTGTTTCCTCTTAGCCTATAAATTCATTTCCCACATTGTGGCACAAGCAGCTGCTTTCCAGGAGCCACTCCAGTCCCAAAATCTTTTTTTTTTTTTTCTCCCATCTGGGCTCTATTCCCAACACTCCCCGTGCACAAACAACCAGAGGAAATGCCTTTTCCACCCCAGCTCCCAGCTGTACACTCTGTCCCCGCATTGTGGATCCCTCCCTGTGCCCCTCTCTCCCCCCCCTCCATTCACTTTCCCAGCCTGGAACATGCTGGAAGAATCCATATAAGGTGAGAAATATGGAATAAACACCCCAGAGAAGCTGCAGGGCTGCTGGAAACTTCATTCTCCCCAACGATCTTGACCGAATTCTGCTTTTCTGACGGCAAGGACAAAGGCCAGGCTGGGAGCAGCGTGGCTTCTCCTGGCAACCAACCCCGAAAACCTGGAGCAGAATAAAACACGGATCTTATCAGCACTTATCAGAGAGCTGTGCTGGCAAAAACAAGCCTGAGCCGTGCCCAGTTCCTTCCTCGGGACGTGCCCGCAGTGAGTCACCTCAGGGCCCGTTTTCTGCCTCTGTGGCTTTGGAAGTGGGTTATTCCCAGGCTGAGTCAGTCACAGTGGCCTGGCCGTCTCTTTTCCCTGTTTAGGAGCTCCAGAAAAAATTGTGGATCCTGCTGTTCTCCCCATCCGAACCTCTGAGCCCATGGGAAAGCAGCTTGGATAGGGAGGAATGCTTTAAATAAAAATTTAGTGGCAGCAAGTTGTCCCTGCTCAGAGCTGCTGGTCATTCCTCTCTTGATTTTCTTGGTTTTGAAGGAGATTTGATAATGGGAAAGTTGGAAAAGTGAAAATCCTGATTTTCCCCAATTCCAGATTTCCATGGGATGCAGGGCTAAGTCAGTCACAGCTTGGATAGGGAGGAATGCCTGAAATAAAAATTTAGTGTGAGCAGGTTGTTCCTGCTCAGAGCTGCTGGTGATTCCTCTCTTGATTTTCTTGGTTTTGAAGGAGATTTGATAATGGGAAAGTTGGAAAAGTGAAAATCCTGATTTTCCCCTTCCCAGACCCATCCAGAATTCCTGGAGCAAGGCTGACCCTCGAGGGAATTCCAGATTTCCACGGGATGCAGGGCAGGGGGGGAAAGGGCAGCTCTGACTGACAGGTCTGGAGGAATCCAGGGAGGAAATTTGGGATGTGGAACGTGCTTGGGATCATATCCCTGACGAGTTCTTTGGCGTGGGGCTCCAAGGCCCTTTGGCTTCGCTGGAATGTGTCTGAGGGGATGGATTCCTTGGAAAGGGATGGGAATTGGAGAGGGAGAGCGTAAACACGGCTCTGACAGGGGTCAGATCTCACAGATCAAATATCCCACGGCAGGGAAAGCTGGAAAAAGCTCCCCCACCTTTCACCAAATTATAATGATTACGTTAATTCTATTGAATAAGAAAAGAGATAAATTAAATGTGAAATAAATAAATAAAAACCCTAAAAATAGATTAAAGTATAGGAAAAAATATAGGAAATATAGAAAAGATATTTAATTATGTTAAATAAGAAAAGAAATAAATATGAAATAAATAAATAAAAACCTAAAAATATAGGAAAATATAGAAAAATATAGAAAATATATTTAATTATGTTAAATAAGAAAAGAAATAAATGAAATATGAAATAAATAAATAAAAACCTTAAAATATAGGAAAATATAGAAAAATATAGAAAATATATTTAATTATATTAAATAAGAAAAGGGGTGCCAAAAATACCACAGAAGTGGTGGGAACACCCCAACAAATACACAAGAGGAAGGGAGGGAACCCCCAAATCCCAAGTTCAGGTTTTGCTGTTTAACACCCAAACTCGCCCTTATTTACCCCAAATAATGGGGGGGTGGGAGTGTGTAAAGGGAGGGGGGCAAAAATACCACCGAGGTGGTGGGAACACTCCACAAACACACCAGAAAGAGGGAGGGAACCCCCAAATTCAGGTTTTGCTGCTGGACCCCCAAACTCGCCCTTATTTACCCCAAATAATGGGGGGCAGTGTGTGCAGGAAGGGGGGGGGGTCAAAAATACCACTGAGGTGGTGGGAACACCCCAACAAATACACAAGAGGAAGGGAGGGAACCCCCAAATCCCAAATTCAGGTTTTGCTGTTTAACACCCAAACTCGCCCTTATTTACCCCAAAAAATGGGGGGGGGGGGAAGGGGGTTAGGGGGGGGGG